CAAGATGAGTGTCGTTCTGAGATGGAATTGTAAAGGGAATGCAAGTAAAGCTTTATGTTTTTTGGTGGAAGATATTCATGTATGTAGCTTTTACTCTTTGTAGAAGAATAGAAGTTTTTTTTTTCTTGCTTCATGCAGCACAGAGTGATTGATCCTGATGAGTGAAGGGAGTAACTTTATACACTACCAGGCACAATGGCGGAGCCAAGGAGTGGTCACTGGTGGCCTTGGCCCCAATAGATTATTCAGCCATACCAATCATTTGAGTCAATTATACTTTTAAGCAATGTAAAAACTAGAAATGATATTTTCCACTATAGTGTCTACCTGTCCATCCATTCATTATCTTTATCTGCTTCTGCCGTTTCGGGTGGCGGGGGTCATTGGTGCCCATGATGTGGCAACCAAAGATTTGAAGGAAGTCTTTCTTCTACCTTTTGGTAGCCACACACCAAAACAGAGGTTGGTGCCTTACTTATTTCTCAAGTTATCATGCTCACAACTAGCACAAATGGACCGATGGAGGGTATTTCTAATTCCTCTTCTTCACTCCCAATGGGGGACAATAAATTAAAATAAAACAAAACAAAGAGCCGGTTGGTGAATTGAGGTTCCATTGTTTATCATCACTTACGGTAAATGGACTGTACTTATATAGCGCCTTTCTATCTTACCGGGATATTCAAAGTGCTTTACAACACAATCTGTGTCCTCATTTACCCGCTCATATAGCACTCTACTAGATCTATACAAAGACTAATCAGTGCTTTATCACATTCATACACTGACATCGGAGGCAATGAGGGGTTCAGTGTCTTGCCCAGGGACACTTCGGCATGTGATTGCAGGTGGAATCAAACCCCCAACACTCGAATTGAAAGACGACTGCTCTAACCACTCAGCCACAGCTGCCCTTTGACCTTTGACCGCCACTTATGACCCCTTTAGCTGCTAAACCAGACTCTGACAGGTAAACCTTTATGCTTTGACTTTGATGCTTAGACCTTTTGGAGCGTTTTGTGTACTGATACATTCCGATTTGTAAATGTAAATAATGAATCTTCATCCTACACCTTAGTTAGTCATGGCGTTCCTCAGGGTTCAGTGCTTGGACTAATACTCTTTAATTTATATATGCTTCCATTAGGTGAGATGACTTCTGTTGTGCTATAACAATAAATAAACTGAAGTGAATTGCGTGTAGGTTTCCTTGTTTATTGGTATTGTTTATATTCTGTAAAGAAAAAAAAGGAGACACCACTCCAGTAAACTGGGAGTCTACAGGCTCTAATGGACCTATTTCGTCTAAACTGTACATATCTGATTATTTTAACTGTTTGTATTTATCTAGATAAACACAAAAAATAAAACTATTATGGATCACAAAATATTTTCCTCTGTTATACAAAAATGTATAAATCACAGTAAACCTTGACCTAGAGTTATCATTGCATGTACAATACATGACTTCTGTACTTGCAATATTATAGATAAAAACTGTTTTGTACACCTGTTTGCAAGCTTTAAAGATTTAGAAATATCAGTATATAAACAGCAGTTGAACACATTTATACTCCAATGTTGGAAACAAATAAGACAAGCTCAATAAAGGGACCTCGAGCTGTTTCCTCTAAAGCCTCAAATGTTTTAAAAGGAAAATGTTATAAACGATTCACATCACAGAGACTGTGGAGCACAATGTTCTGCAGTGATAGCCAAATGCCTAGAAGCAGCAACACACAACTCAGCGTCTGAAAGGTGAATAAGGACAACAGAAAGAAAAGTGGTGTGATCAAAGATTCTATCGCCTTTGTCCCACTGGGAACATTCTGCAATTTTGAGATATCTGTGCAGAATAGCAGGCCCAAAAGATTCTCAAAAAACAATAAAAAAGGTAATTTTACTGGTTGCAACAAATCTCTCCTAGGGATGAAAAATGATTTTCAAATTTTTGAAGAGTAAAATAAAAACAGAAAGTCTTCAGAATACAGAACTGGTGCTTTGATATCTTAGTTTCATGGGCATGAAGCTTTACTATGACACCCGCAAAGTACAAGTTATGAAAGTGTTTTCGTGAAAAAGACTTAGCTTTTAACAACCAGGGTGCTATTTTTCTTCCAATTCTTTACAATATATATTTTTACCTTCTTCCACCTGCATAACATCGCTAAAATTAGAATCATTTTATCTAAAAATGATGCTGAAAAACTGGTTCACGCATTTGTCACATCTAGACTGGACTATTACAATGGTTTGTTCTCTGGGTGTCCAAATACTTCTTTAAAAAGTCTTCAGTTGATCCAAAATGCTGCTGCCAGAGTCTTAACTGGAGTTACTGGTAGATATATCTCTCCAGTTTTAGCTTCTCTCCACTGGCTCCCGGTCAAATTCAGAATTAAATTCAAAATCATACGTGTAACCTACAAAGCTCTCAACAACCTAGATCCATCTTATATCACATATCTTATTGTTCCATATTTTCCGAACAGAGCAATTCACTCTCAGATTGCGGGCTTACTTGCGGTTCCTAGAGTTTCCAAAAGCAGAACGGGAGGAAGATCTTTCAGTTCTCAGGCTCCTCTCTTGTGGAACCAACTTCCAGGTTCTGTCTGTGAGGCTGACACATTGTCCAGTTTTAAGACTCTCCTTTTTGATAAAGCCTATAGTTAAGGTTGGCTTGTTATGCCACCTTAAGCTTAGACTACTGGAGGACAAACTGACCTAATTTCCTTAAATGAATTGTTACAATTAAATAGTTTTCATTTGATATTATTTTGATCTTAACATGTGATTCTCGACCTGCCGTTGTGTATCTGTTCCTCCTTCCTGTTCCTCTCAAACCCAGCAAGTCAAAGCAGACGGCCACTAGTCCTGAGCCTGGTTCTGCTAAAGGTTTCTTCCTCGTGAGGGAGTTTTTTTCTTTCCACTGTCGCCTTCAGGCTTACTCAAGATGAGAGTTCTACAATTAAGTTAAACTCAAAGCAGTCTGCTCCTCAGATAAATAATGTTAAACTATTATTTGTATATATGAATGTTTCTGTTCAGTGTCCTGAGATGACTTAAGTTGTGACTATAAATAAACTGAAATTAATTCAATACAAACCAACTCAATCAATGCTTTGTCTACTTCAATCATCGTTATCTTGTTTATAGACAATTGTAATATGAAGAGATATTTTTTAACCCCCATTCTTTTTTTTATGTAGCAGCACTATCTGTATACGTAGACATTTGATATGCAAAAGCTAATTAATATAAAATGGCACGATGTTTTCAGTTTAAACGCTCAAAATTGTAATCTTAACCAGCTATTCACATACAGTATGTGTGCTCCAATTCTCTGTGTGAATTTTTGAATTTCTTAGGCTGTTTATTGCATTTAGAGTTTTTTAATACAAACATTAGTCATTGCTTTCCAACCTGTTAGTTTGACTGCTCGTTCTTGCCGCAAAGCACATAATAGCTTTCAAGCTGGTGACTAGAGTGTTAATAACAACATTTAATGAAAAGCGACAGAGGTATCCTTTAAGCTCTAATAATGTCCAACCACATATTATGTAGTGACATAATCAATTACCTGAATCAATCTCGCACAGATGTAACAGGGATCCCGCTGAGACCCGAGCTGTACACTCATGTATAAAAGTATAGATTTCCAATTTCTTTGGAGCAGCACATCATGGTGCAACGATACTGGAAAGAGGAAATTCTGCAGTATAACCAGGAGTGCTTCATCATCTAGTGGGGTGTCTGCAAACTTGCAAGTCAGAGAAAGAAAACTGCACCTGTAGGATGAGCGGGAGGATGGCGGCTGCTGTGTAACAGATGTGATGGAGCAAGAGGTGGTAGATGATGGAGTGCTATTTTCTCAGGCAAATTAGTTGCAGGCTTTTTGTCCAAGATATGACAACAGCACATGTTGAACAACATGTTTCCCGACTGTCTGCAGCAATAATGCAGACTGAACTTTCATTGCAAAGTGAAAAATTCCTCAAAACACCCAATTCTCCAGTTTAAAGCTTTTTCCTAATTGATTCCGACTGGATAAATAGAGGCATGAAAACAAAAATAGAAGCAGTTTTACCATTTCCTTGGTAAATATACATATTTAATGATGGATGGATGGAGCCCATTTAGCTATGGAAGTTGTGTAAACCCTCAGTGTGTTGCACCCTGCAAGGTCCTTCAAAAGATAGTAGTTGTAGAATATTAGCTACGCAGTATGGCTATTAAATTCCCGTTTTAGGTCACATATGTAAATCATTGTTGCCATTTATTCAACTTTTTAAAAATCCATTACGATTTACCAAGCACAGGGGTTAGGAAGGAACAGAAACATGGTAATTTCATTTTGAAATTCCTGAAATAGTTACCTTGTACACCTACAAATTACCCTCCAAAGAACTCCCATTTGAATTTCAATAGCTAAATAGCAGCACAATGAACGGGTACACTACTTTAAGAGTCAGACACCACACT